TAATAATATAAATTTAAAAACCACCCTCCACCCCCATGTGAATTCTGTAAAGTGGAGCAGAAAGCTTTCCCAGCACTTGTTCCTGCAGTTTTTTCTTTTTTTTTTTTTCTCTTTTCTTTTAAAAGCGAGGGATAATCAGTTGGTAAAAAGAGATACACAAAACCAAACTAATACAAAACCAAAAACAGGCCTACTGAACACAAGTCTGTACAAGTGTCAGGCAGAAAGAAAACACTAGCTTTGTATTTGTATAACATTTATGCACTAAATAGTATTTTCTCCTTCACTTCAGTGATATTTAAATCACAACAACTACAGTTGTATAGCTTAGATAATTGAGTAACATATTTAACGGTATCTAAGCCTTGTAACTAAAAAACAGCATATGAAAGTGAAAAACAAAATGTGGTAAAAATTCATCTTTCAAAAAAATCTGATTCAGTTGCCTGCAACAGTAACTTTAAAATCATTTATAAGCATAAGCAAGTCAGATAAATATGGCCAATTTAAAAGTTTTAAAATGAAAATTGTCATCTGCACCTTTTCAGCGTTCTCAGTATTCCAAGCAAACACAGCAAAAAATTACACACAGGAAGTTTTTTTTCAAAGGTTTGTTTTAGTAAAAAGCCAAATCAACAGCAAACACAGGGGAAAAAAAAAAAAAAAAAAAACCACACTTTCCACACACAGACATGGTGAGTAATTCAACTTCATTCTTGGCAGTCACCTTTACAGCAACCAATTCTCACACCAACTCAATCAGTGCCTTGTTTCACTGAGATTTCCAACAAAGACACCAATGTATTTATAGCCTATGAACACAAATTCAGAAAGAATCAAGCTATTCCCCCCACCCCCAAGAAAAAAAAATTGGTATAATCCGGAGTTAGAAAAAAACTAAGCCAAAATGCTCCTGATGCACCAACTGCCAAGCTTTGGATTCCAGGTCACGTCAGTTACACAACTGCTACGTGACTGAGGCAGCTCAGCAATCCCAGCAGCGGCCAGTCCACTTCCCAGCCTCCCATTCCTTGACTTCGTGCAGCCCCGATGTATTTCCACAGCAAACCCAACATATTTAGCAGAGGTGTAGGACTTCTAAAATAAGCATTCTGCAACTCGTGCAGATTAGAATCCCATGGGATTGTCAAAGGAGTTGGCAGTTGCATCTATCCTCTCATGCTATTCCTGGAGCACCAACATTGCTACATTTGCTTATTTTGTGTATCCATTAACTGAAAATTGTCTCAGATGAGCATTACTGCTGTACAGGATGAAAGAAACACTGTTTCACATGGGCAGCTAATAAATTTTTTTCCTAACAGCAACATCAGAATTCTTCCTCTGCATTTGCAGTATGTGAACTCTTAAATTTCTTGAGTTTTTCAATAGCAGAAGATACTGAAATCTCTCCATGAACTTTGTTGTCTCTTGTTCGCACGTTGACAGCATTATTTGCTTTCTCCTTTTCTCCAACCACTGCAAGACATATCACAAACGATATTAAACTGACTACCTACATTACAAAATGAGAGACTAGACAAACTCTATGCCCAACATTAAAACTTAAATGATATGCAGAAACGTAAGATGTTGCACTTACCTAGGATAAAGTTATACTGGGCCAGCTGTGCATTCCTGATTTTCTTGTTTAAGGTACAACTTTGATCCAGATCCACATCTGACATAAATCCTGCTTCAAAAAATTCACTGCAAACCTAAAAAAAACCCCAAAAAACTCCCACTTAACATGACAGTATATATTCTACAACATAAATTTGTACATGCTGTAATCCTTGATCTCTTCCAATAATTAATTCATGTATGTGCATAATTTTGCTCTTGTGAATCGTTGTAGGGAAGTCAAATGAAGTTATTTGAAGGAAACTGCACACACACTCAAGGGCTTAGCAGGACTCCAGTTGGAAGACAATACAAGGTAACATCCCTATCAAGTATTTGCTGATCTCCTCAGACAGCTACACTGCTGAATGTCAAAAATGTTTCCTCAGTCTGAGAAAGCAGGAAGAGGAGAAGGAACAAAACCACTTCTGCTTGCATTAAAAGAAAAGCAGGGGAGAGGGGTAAAAACAACCATGGTCAAATGTAACGTAGTCAAGAGTATACATGCTGGGACGTGGAAGAAACCGGCTCTGCCCCTACTCTAAGCAGATAACTCTGTAATGAAACATTAGTTGGTATATAAGGTTTGTCATCCAGAATGGTTTTTCCTTTAATAATTACTGAAGTATGTACATAATAACAGAACCCAAAACACTTGAAGTTACGTATCCCTTTCTCAGGCTTACACAAATTTTAGACTATATGGAAAAATTTACCTCTCCCCCCAAATATGTCTCCAAAATTATTACAGCATTCATTCTTTGTTCTAGGACAAGTACTTAAGGAGCTATTAAAATTGCTTGCTACTATAAAAAGGAAGGCCCTACTCTCACCTGCCGGGCATACTCTTCAGAAGTAGGTCCCACAGGCACAACCATGACCTGCCGTGGAGACAGCCAGAATGGCCTGGCAAGCAGGACAAGAAAAATATGAAATAAATGTGCATTTTACATTTGCATTCATAGCCATAGTCATGTTCCCCAATAGTAATTTCTTCACTTTATAAAAATATTTACGTTAGGTAAGAACGTTGGATAATATTATCTTCCTCTTTTCAAATTCACATAAAATAGCAAATAGATTGATTCCAGTAAAATGACATACGCAGAACTTTGATCTTCTGTTCACTTCCTAGCTGACTTCACAATTTTAAACAGAAATTCTTTTTTTTTGCGTAATTTCCACTTCTATTTATAACTTTACAGTGAAAGGTGGACAGTCAGACAGATAGGTGGCTGACAGTAAGAATTAACTCTTCCTTAATACTTTAAATTAATGAAGAAATATCTTCAGAGTTTATTTAAGATGAAACAATACATCTTACAAGTTAAAAAAATATTTCACATTAGGACCAATTCATGTCTGTATAAATAACTGCTTTACATACGTCTAACATCTTCCCAGCACAAACACATGATTTTTAAGAAAAAAGGGACAAGAATAACGCAGCACATACACATTCAATCACAATTGTTACTTCTGCTTTATTGTATGATTTTTCCTGCAATCTCATTAAATTGAATCTCTAATGATGAACTATTAATAAAATGATATCACACAACTCAGACGATAAAATTAGACTTCTTTTCTTGTCATCTTACCTACTAATTTTGAGAAAATTCTAGGGATATTATTTTGCATTATAATATATGGGACATGAGGGAGGATCTGTATTTTCTATGTTGTTAAACATTTCTTAGAACTGCATTTGTGCCACATACCATTTTCCTCCATAATTTTCTGCTAGAATAGCTATCATTCTCTCCACAGATCCCAAAATAGCTCTGTGAATAATCACTGGCCTTTTCTTATCGTTGCCATCCTTACTGAAAAAGAGTAAGTAAAGTTTAAAAAAAAAAAAAAAATCTCTTAGCTTACACACAGATAATCCTACTAATATTTTTGATTCTACTTTTCATGGAAAGACAAAATTTAATTACTTATACTTAGGCAAAATCTACCGTTTTTATTAAAAATGTACTTTCTTTAAGTCACTTGGGCTTTTAAAGGAATACTGAATCATAGTGACTTAAAATAATCATGCCTGTAGCTAGTGGCATAGGCACAAAATCCTAAGTTTGAAAAGACACTCGACTGACTCAGCTCTATTTCTGTGCATTTTAATATTTTATGTTCTTCCTTGCTCTTTCTTTTCTGCTATGTCTTGCTTTTATTTTGTTGCACAGGATCTTACCCGCCCTTACTGTTCATTTCTCACCTTAAATTACAAGCTTGTGATTAAAAAAAAAAGCCAGCTGCTGTTCATAACAGTATTATCACCTACCTATGCTATGACATCTACTGTAGAACATGCAGCAAGACCAAAAAATAACAAAGATTCTTATTCTATCTTCCCCATCAAACTCTTTATAATATGCAAAACCAAACACAGCAAGAAAAACAACCCATAAAATGTGTGTTCAGGTCAACATGGTACTAAGATTAATTCACTCAGTGGATAAATATCCCTCTTCTTAGCTGGAAGCCAAAGTGAGATTTTCATTAAAAACTGTTCGCATTTGGTTTATGTTCATCAACGTTAACTAACTTTATCTGATAAAAAGAATGAAATACTTATTACAAAGATACTAGCTCATTAAGACATGTTTGAATTCCTATGCGATGCCTTCAAAAAAGACACAGTGACTAGGCTGAAAGCAAAAACTGACTCAGCTGAGTTTTCTTTAGCATTACATATGATCAGTTGTCTTCAGAATTGGCAGACAAGACAGATCATGAAATTTTCCTGCAATCAGTAGCATTTACCATTAAAATGAGCTATCACTACATTGGGGAAATATCTTCAAGTTCGTGACTCAGTCCTGTACTCACGGGGGTGTTTCCTCTCCTAACCAGGCTACTGATGTACAGGCTAATCATTTGTTAAGTGAGCAACAGAGCATTAATACATCTCAGTTTAGTGGGAATTACAGATAATGAAAGTAACTTTTTTTTTTTGTTAATTATTTCATTTAGAAGAGGAAGATAGATAGTTTAACCACTCACCCAACATAAGTAAGATTAAATCGAATGGGTAATTGGAAGTCAAGTTGGATAGTAGCACATTGATGGTACCTGCCAATAGCATCTTTGATTTTAATATCAATCTGTGAAGCAAAACAACACAGTTACTAAATACAGTTTGCCTGCTTTGTGTCTGTATTCTTGTCCATCCCAAAGCTGTACCAAAACGCTGATTCACTAACCTTAGGACCATAAAATGCTCCATCTCCTGGATTCAAATTCCATTGCTGTCCAAAGTCATTCAAACTGTTTTGAAGTTGCTAATCACAAAAATAAGAGAATAATTACAAAAGGTATAGCAGGGCCTTTCATTACTGTAAGTCAAAGTATTTGCCTTTGAAATACAAAGGGAGTCAACAGGCAGCACGACTTCTATTTTTCAAGCATTTAGTCATTTATGATAAATAATCTTTAAAGAAGAATATTTCCTTGTACAAATGTTGTAATTAATCGGGAAAAAAAGATTAATAAAAATCAAATCAGTTCAACATAGGGGGCTAAGTAAGAATCAGAAAGTTCTCATTTTATACAGAAACTTGACATTTAATGTGATGTTCTTCAACAAGCATTTCCACTAAGGACAATATTTAGCATCTGATTCAAGCAATTTCACTAATTTCACTATTCAACATGAAAGAACTTAGTTAAATATCCCCCTGCAAATACAAGTATTAAGCGTTTTGTTTGTTTGTTTGCTTTTAAATGAATTACCTTTTCTGCATGATCCCAGATCTCTAACTCTCCTAGATAATTTTCTGGTCTTGTAGAAAGATGTAGTTGAAAGGTAAAACCAAAGACAGCATACACTGACTTCAAGAAATCAAGACAGCCCTTAATTTCTTCTTCAATCTTAAACAAACAAAATATATTAGTTAAAATTTACTTAGATAAAAATGTAATTGGATTTACTGAATTCCTCGTAATCAGAATATAAGAGTCCATTAAATAAAGAAAAAAACCGCTAAAAATCACATGAAAATTACATCCTACAAACCCAAATCTAGGTAATGGGTGAAGAGAACTGAGGTGTTGTGGCTTCAAAGCATGGCAAGAAAAGTAATGTTCTTGTTAAGCCTGGGCTTCAGGAGCCAAATTGCATGAGTCAGACTTGACATGAGTACATAGATTTATTCACATAGCTCCACTAAAATCTATGGCATTACTGACAAAATAAAGCATTTATTCAGCATTACTATGGAAAACAAAATGTGGTCAACAGCTTTTTTCTTTGCGGGGGGAGATGGGAGATGCAAAAGATTTTACCTCTTGGGATTTAGTTGCCCAATATATCTTTCTAAAGGAAAAAATTCTATACAGAAAATCTTATTACATAATTCACAATCAATAACGTCCCACAAATAACATTGTTTTCTTCTTTTGATATAAGCGGTTTTCAATTTCAAAGAGAAAAATAAATAACACAAATTATGGCACTGCTATTTGAGAAACTTGTAACAGAGAAGCTAAGTTCAACAAGCTACTGACTTAAGCAATATTGCAGAAGGTTAAGAAATATGGAATACCAGATGACTAAGACGGAAGCACCTACACCTATCAAAAAATGCATCAAAAGCAGCATTATGCTACAAAGCAACACAACAGAAGAAGCTAGAGTTGAAATACTTTGGGGATTTTTTTCTTGTTTAATGTTGGTTTGCACTGGGAAGGGAGGAGAAGGGGTTCTTTATTTTGGTTGACTGGTGACGGTTGTTGTTGGTTTTTTGGTTTTTTTTTTTTTTTTTACCTGTTCTATTGTGCAAAAGATGTGAGCATCGTCTTGTTGGAAGCGCCTTACACGAGTCAAGCCACTTAAAGTCCCAGAGAGTTCATTTCGGTGAAGAACTCCAAAATCTGCAAGCCTAAGAGGCATTTCCCTCCAGGATCGTGGACGATGGGCAAACATCAAGCTAGAAGGAACATGAAAGAACCTTCCTTTTATCCTTCTTTATAGAAGATTTAAGACAACACAGAAACTAAAACAAGATCAGTACAGACATTAATCACATTTTTAAGTATTTATTCATTCAGGTTGCCTGCATCCTAAAAGGCAGGCAAACAGAAAAAGTGCAGCACTCAGAACATATTGCTAAAGACCACCTAGAAAAAACACTGTGAGAGTAACAATTAAGACTGGTTCATCTGCACCTTCTTTTGGTACACCACACCTGATGCTTATCTCTACCCAACATAATTTATTTTACTAGTGGTACAGACTAGTATTACCAGGCACAAACCTAGCTCACTTAGTGCAGACTTACTGAAAGATCCTCCTACAAGAACTGTATTCGGTCTGCTTTGGGACACTGTCAGGGGACCTCTCTGGACACACTAGTTGCTTAGTAGTCTATTGTAATACACATGATAGTATGTATTAATACTCCATTTATTTCCCCTCAGCCCCACACAGGATAAATATAGTAAAATAAGAAGTTTTTCAGTTCAAAGTACAAACCAATGTCCTGGACAATTCATCGGTTTAAGGGCAAAAGTTTCCTTCTCGATCTCAAAAGAGAACATATTTTCACTGTAGTGCTGCCAGTGTCCTGAAGCTTCCCAGAGTTTACTGCTGAAGATGTTTGGAGATACAACTTCAGTAAAATTACGCCTGTGATATTCCTCCTATAAAACAAATTCAACATTTAAAAGGTGATAAAGCTTTTGACAAGCAAAAGCCTGATTCTTTTTAACTGTGTTCTTATGATGGTGATTTACTGGGAGACTAAAGGGCTACTGCACATGTAGGTTTTGCACAACTGGAAAAAGCACAGGTTAATGCTTCACTCTGCCCTATTTTCAAAAAGGTTAGATCTGTATAATCATAGTGAAAATCTGGTATATGTTTACATACATAGATGTTTCTCTCTCTGTGGATAGCTCAGTGCTAAGAATGGCCTATCACTTAAGATCAACAACTGATATTAAGCTTGTTAGGAGTTACATTAGTATATACTCACTCGTATGAAATCCATGAGTGTGTTATAAAGAAAGGCACCTCTGGGGAGGAAAAAGCAGCTTCCAGGACTCAAATCATGAAAGAAGAAGAGTTCTTGCTCCTAGAAATTAAAAACAAAATGCTGTAACACCACTTCAGATGGAAGTGCAGAACAAGAATACTTCATACATGTTGAGACTGTTCACAAAAATGAAATATTACAGCAACAAGATGACTTCCAGAAGGCCACAAGTTCTCAGCAACAGTAGTTAATTTATCTGTAGTTCTTACTCTTAGAAATTTGTAGTAACACTGGAATTCCATTTGACACTGTGACTATGTAAATACACATTTCCTCAAAATCCTGAAGCCTTAACCAATCTTAACTTTAGTAACCAAAGCAATTAAGCATACACCCATCAGATCTGAGGGTTTACGGCTGAAGCTCATGAGCCAGTCATTCTTTATCAGAATTCTGTCTCAAAAACAGCAGCTCAGCAGTGTGGCTCTGATACATCTTTGGAGAACATTAGCCTCTTCAGTATCATAGGTATTAGATACATAGACACTAGGTAAGTTGTTTGACTGATACTACATAATTTGTTTTTGAAAAGACATAGAAGTAATAATCATCAAACAAATACTATACAAATATTCAAGTCTTAATGAGTTAATAGAAATAAGCATGAACACTTCTGTAAAGATCATTTTTCTACTTCTTCCCTTTGTCACTGTTTTCTGTAAATTCCTCATTGGCTCTTCCTCTTCTGAGTTACCCTCAGCTGTTCATCTTTGCTTATGAAGGCCCTTCACAGTCTCTTCTTTCACGTCTGCCAGTAAGTAGTGAGAGGTTCATACCTGCATCCTCTTGGCCAATGATGCTGACCTTCACTTACACATGAGTTTTTCAAATAAACGTCTTCCTGCTTTCACCTTTACTGCCCATTATGCCTTTAAACATCCACAAAGCTTATCTTCTCTCAAATACCCTCCCTATAACTCCACCTCCTCTACAAAACTATAGCAAAGGTGACAACAGTTAGGAGACTGCATGCCAACATGACCAATATTAGGTCACAATCCTCGTCTGTGTCAATCTAACATCTTCTGATTTACACTCAATTTAAGATTAAATCTGTTCATTTAAATCTAGTAGAGGAATACATGAACAACATTCAAAACAGCTGAAGTACTGCATGTACATACACTTAACTATTACCTTATTTATGCCTATAATAAAGAATGACCAAACCATACTATTTATACAATTTTCAATAATTTTCAATTTTTATACAAATTTCAATAATTTTCTATGAAAAATACAGTGGTTTAGGTAGGATCTGAAAAGACTCCACATTAAAAGGTTTGATATACTTCCCTAAACTGAGGGATTACCCCATTACTTCTTCCCAACATTAGTTTAACATTTGTATGCAAGTGACAAGTTGAGTTTGTAGAATTAAAATTTTTAAATACAACTAACACCAAGAAGTTCATAGAACTGGCTACCATTCAAACTGTCAAAAAATGGGAAAAAAAAAACCAACAAAAGAGAATGAATTCTATTACAGAAGCATAAAAGAGAAGTATACCATGAAATAGCGTACCTTTCCAATTTTCCTATGGTCCCGGTTTCTGGCTTCTTCCTGGAATTTTTCCCATTCCTTCATCATTTTGTTATCAGGAAAGGATATACCATATATTCTCTGCAGAATTTCCATGTCAGATTTTCCTTCCCAATAAGTAGAGGAATTCTGATGCACAAACCCCATAATTTAAGATAATATTATATAATCTCAGGGAAAGGAGAAATAAACACTAATGCATTAAAATGTTATGATTTTTTTCCTTGGGAAAAGAATTATATGCAATCATCCAGCATTTGTTTGTAATACAAAGATACTTGCACTGCCTTTTAGTCAGCATACGAATACAGAAGACAAATGAAAGTGACTGGTCAAGTCCTACTTCTACTGAGGTACCTTGTTTTAACTCACATCATGGCATGTTTTATTATATCTTCTAAAAAAGCAGCACTTGTTTAAATTCAAAACGTAACACAGTAGGGAAACACGAAAGACAAAATGAAACTAACTCACTCTCACAGTTAAATCCTAGCTGTTTTGACAATCTAACACTTTACCCCTGGAACTCAGAGTTCCATAAGCTTCAGTCAGGAAGCCAGCAAAAGCAACTATGATGAACGTCCCAATGACATCAGTCTAATAAGGTTACCAAAATTAGCATCTGCAAGTAACTTAAACCACATCATAACCAGAAGCATCTGCAAACACTGACTCTGGCTTTCCTGTGAGCAATGCCATTTTTAAAGAGCAGCACTTGCCCATCTGCCAAGGTCCACTTTACCTCTTGTACCTGAAAGATACCATTTTACAAGGTCAAAATACTATTTTCTGACCCAATGAATATCTTGGATGTTCATTTACTGCACACACACACCGCACACAGATGTGACAGCTAGCACAGACTCAAACTAGGACATTTGTACAACAAAGTGCAGTGCTGGTTGGAGATACTAGCACAGTACTGCCACATTAGCTTAGGCACTGCACTTCTCTACTGTGCACAGTATAACTGGTTCCACAGCTAATCTAGTCACTACTAGCTTGAGTGTTTTTGCAGTGCTCTTCATTACAGTCTAAGCATGCATGTTGCTGCACTAATACTCTGATTAAAAAAGATGCTGTTAACTATCACTGATGTACTGTTGCGATGGTCAAGAATCAGTAAATGTTGGAAGCAGATGAATGATGGAAGTCTGTAGTTCTACTTGTACAATGGGAGCTGGGAAAGAAATGAAGGACTATTTTCAGAGTAAGCAAAGAAAACAATACAAAGGACGCTTGCATAATCACTTCAGGAGAAATAAATACATAAATAAATCAACTGACCCATAGTTTAGTTAAGTTTTAATGCACAGTTAATTTAAACTTACCTTAAATATTTTAAGGGCCTTAATTTTTCCAGTGTGCCTCACATGTGGACCTCTGCAGAGATCAATCAGTGGACCACATCTATACACCGAAAGAAAAAAAGTGTTTATATCAAAACACTCCAACATTTTTAAATACAGTCACTAATGGCATACAAGTTAATGCTTGACATGTTCAAACACACTAATAAGTATACATATGCAAGTCAGCAAATTCAGTGCATCTTAAATGTAATTGTGCCTTCTACCTGAAGCAGAATATTCACTCAGTAAATACTCAGCACACTTGATCTCTTATCAAGAGCATCGTAACACACTCAGCAATTCATATAGTTCTGTATGTAAACTTTTGTTAAAGTTGGCCAGGAAATTTCAAACTATGCACATCAAACAGAAAAAAATGTTTTTGCCATTTTCCAGCTAACTAGTTTTATCCCTGGCAACTGACTGAACAAGTTCCTCACCCCACACTAAGCTAAGAGTTAGCTTTCCCCATTATCCAGCAATTCAACGTCATGGGTAGTAACTTATTTTAATCTGTTTATTGAAACCAGAGGGAAGGAGTGAAAAGTGGATTTGCCATTTGTCCACAAATTGAGACCTAATCTGTCCCAGCAGAGAAAGAGAAGATCTGATTTTACATAAGTAGCAATATTAATTGCAAACTTAAGTCCCAATCATACAAGTATTCAGAAGTTAGAATAAAAAAAAATTCTTCTCCTCTCAATTTAAATGAAATATACCTAACTACAGAAATATTTCATAACACCTTTTAACTTAATTTTCTTTACCTGTATATTGTGGTAGTTGGTGTGTTCACTTTCTCATTAAGGATACGACACTTAAACTTGTTATACTGTGTGGGGAAACATTAAAAGTCAGAAACATCAATAAAATGGCTAATAAAATTCTATTTTAAAATTATGTATTAATAATGCAAATGCATCAGTAAAAGACACTCATAACTAAAAAAATCACATGATCACATGTATGTATGCAAAAGTTCAATATCCTTTCAGAAGAGTTATAAAACAAGAGGGGAAAGAGACAAAAATATCTTGATTTCCCTGAGGGTTTGTTAAGCATAGTGATTACCACCTGAACACCTCAAAGCACTTTTGAAAGGCAATTAAAACACGGTACAGTGAGACTGGTAACATTCACTGTATAAAACAGAGGACTAGAGGACAAAGTCTTTTTTGACTTGTCTCTGCAAGTGAGCGAGAATGAATGCATGCTTTTTGTGTAACTAATTTCTTTGTCATCTCATTGAGCTTGAGATGTTTTTGTGTAATAAGAAATTGTTTTTATTATTCCCTGAAAACATCCTGAACACTTGAGAAGGATATGGAGAGGGGGAAAAGGATGCTATTCTTTTTCTTTGTCAGCCACATGCAGTATTTTATAAAACTTACATTTTAAAAGATCGTTGTACCAGAATCACAGCCACTCCAAAGATTTACCTTAAACATGTCTAACAGGACCTCTTTTTTGACTTCCAGCCTTTCAAAAGCCTGCTTCTCTTTTATGATATTTTTACAGCGGTTCTCTAGTAGTGGGAATTCAGTACTAGATACACTTCTAAACAAAAAGACACAGCCAGAAGAAATATAAATTAATTATTTTGATATTCCCATTTTTAAGTGACCACTTTCTAGTGGTCTAATTTGAAAAACATGGGATGTGTTGTTGTGATTTGTCACAGTATTTTCTTAGTTTCTTACAATCGGCTGTACTTTCAGAGACTTAACTCAGAAACACAAACCGTATCACCCTGAACAAACGCACTGCAATCACCCCTAGAACAGTCTTTGACATGTTTAAATGTCTGGAAGATCCGTCGCTCCAAGTATATATGATTTAAGGAAAAACAAACAAAAAAAAGGCTCAACCCAGCTGCAAGAGCTAGTTTATCAGCTGATGCAGATTCGGTATTCTCCCTGACTACAGAAAGATAAACAAGGAAAAAAACAAAATTGTAAAGCTGTGCACAAGGATTAGAAAAGTAGTAAACACCTATATGAGGATACATGCATACGTGCCATTTCTACAAGTGACTATGGCACGTTTGAAACCAAACTCCCCTGATTATTACTCTATCTCCCAGGAATTTCAGAAAGTTTTACCCAAACTCTCTACATTTTTTCACAGAATGTTCAACAGCTGCAAGTCTTACAGAGCAGGTGTCTGCTCTTGAATTTAAATATACACACACACTCAATATATATGCATACACAGATCTATACTATGAAGATGACTAACTTGTCAGTTTTAAACCATACTAGATAAATTATTTTACTTTTAACATGCAGAAACATGACTGAACAAAAATAATTCTAGTACTGAGCTTCAATATAGAGTATCAAAAGTTCTTAAGACTGTGAAATTTTACCTATCTTCAGTGTACATGTCATAATAAAATCCGTTCTCAATTGGCGGTCCGTAGCATAAGCAGCCCCCAAAATAACCTTCCATGGCCTCTCCAAGAATATGAGCACTTGAATGCCAATAAACCTGTAAATAAAGTCAGCTGAGCAAGTCATGGGGTCATTGGCATTGTGCAACTAAAAAGAAAAAACAAAACAGAGGTATATCTGCAGATGGGAAATACACTGAAATCAATGTTTTTTAAATTCTGTGAGAAGTGTAACAATTTTCTGTTCTCATTTTGAAGTACTCTAAATGATTAATATAATGGCAGATGTACCAATAAAGCTCCACTGTATTTCAGTCTGACAGATGATTATACCTCTGCACGATTCCCCCACCTTAGTACTTATTGTACCTTGTTCATCTTTAAGTTAGTTTCTGGTCAGTTAAAAGTCTATGCAATACTAACCGCATCTAAAGCAACATAGCCAATTAAGTTACCATTGTTCACATACAGTACATTTATTCATAGGACTGTAAACCACATTACCTAAAACGTCAGAAGAGGGGAGTCAGCAACCCAGTAGATCAATACCAGTCTTATGTTCTAAGTCCCTATTAATTCAGACCACTTCATAGCCACTGCTACAAGATAAGGCCTTTACAGGCTCCTGAAATGCCTCAAACAAGCTTAATCACATGAATAATTCTTTGACAAAATGAAGTCTAATTCTAGTGCATAAAGATGAACATAGGCTTAAGACTGAATCCCATTAAAAAAAATATTTGGGTGTGTCGCTAAGTATATTCATAGTTTAATTGACTAAGATATGCCTACTTAAGTTTCTAATAAACAGTGCCGGTACAAGGAGGTGTAGATTTTAGTTATGACTCAAATCAAACTGGACAAGTTTTAGAAAACTGTAAGACAGCCTCACTGTTGCTTTCAGTGTCTGATCGTCAAACGCAGAGTCAAACCACAGAACACGTGTGTTACAAGACATCAAACTATTTCAAATTAGCATACAAATCAAGACATTCTATATGATCTCATTTGAGAAATAACCTGTTTATGTAAAAGAGACAGGAAGAAAAGAACACTAAGATTTTATTTATCTATAGATTATAAGTACTTAATATCTTCTTTGTCAAATCATGACAAATACATTACTTGAACAGTTTTGGGGATTTTTTTTTTTTTTTTTAAATTCAAGATTTTAAAAGCACATAATGCTGCAATCAATTTTCATGTCATTAGTTCCTTTAATCAAACAGAAACCAGTGAGTGTTTACTCACAGCTTTTGCTTCTTCATTATCAAACATAAGCAGCTCCAGAGTACAATCTCCCTCCAGTGGACGATCCAGGTCCCACAATTCACCATTCACTTTGGCTATGACTGCATTTGAAGCCAACACTTGACTAAAAAACACAAATGATGACAAGACACCAAAATATTTAGGTTCAGATTTGCAGAAGTGCTTAGGTTTCTAAACCCCATGAGACCCTACTCACATCTTGTAGCACCTAAAGACCTTTAATGTTTTTTTCTGTGATCGTCTTAAACACTTTTCTACTTTTAAGGTATAGACCCTTAAGGTCTTAAAGTTTCATTCAACGGTTTTCAGTGCTGGGGATCTGGAGAAAAGACCGCTTCTAACAACAGTTTCTACTGTTATCTGGTAACTCACAAAACTTGAAATGTCTCTATTAATTCATAGCAGTCTCACTGATTGCTGTATTTTTTAATTGGAAGCAAGCATTATGATCCCAGCATAGAACCTGAAGCATCACTCAGAAAATTAACTTCACCCAGCTGTTTCTTCTGCATTAAGCTGAAGTTTCAATGCCTTCTAAATAAACCAACTTAAGAGAGTCACCATCCACTGACCGTGACATATATATTTTATGCAACAAGGTAAGAGACAAATCATAGTAACAGATTTATCACTGCAAAAGTACAACTCCTTGAACCTGCAGGTTACCTAATTCCTACAGCTAATTGATACGGCGTGGTTTTCCAAGATTCCCCTTCAGCCATCTTTCCATCTGTCAGAATTATTTTGATAGGTTTGCTCTGGTTGGCCGCTCTGTAAGCTAGCAAAGCATCATGTTCTTTTTTCAGTGCTTCGTAAAGCTTCAGTCTGTCTTCTATGAAGCTTGGCTCACACTGTAGCTGTAACAGATAAATTAAATCATACACATACATATTTGTTAGAGAAATAGAATAAAAAGATTCACAGTGTTCATGCAACCCTAAAGGTTCCAACAGACCAGACTTCACTGTACTAGAATTTATACTAATATGCAGTAAAGCATTTGTAAATAATTATACACAGTCCCACCCAACTCGCTGACTATTTTATAGTGGCTTTCCAATTTTCCGATGCACCTTCATCAATATGGGCCTAAATGACTTTGTGAGTTTGACCTCAGAAAGCAGCCTATATTCCTGCCCCAGAATTTGTATTTGGCTGTATCCTAGAGAAATTTGGCTCGCTCCAACAAGCCCTCGCTTCTGCCAGTCCATTCAAAGCATCAGATTCAAATAGAATCATAGAATCATTAAGGTTGGAAAAGACCTCTAAGATCTCCGAGTCCAACCGTCAACCCAACACCACCACGCCCACTAAACCATGTCCCTAAGCGCCTCATCTACACGTCTTTTAAATACCTCCAGGGATGGTGACTCTACCACTTCCCTGGGCAGCCTGTTCCAAGGCCTGACCACGCTTTCAGTAAAGAAATTTTTCCTAATGTCCAGTCTAAACCTCCCTTGGCGTAACTTGAGGCCATTTCCTCTCGTCCTATCGCTAGTTACTTGGCAGAAGAGACCAACCCCCACCTCGCTACAACCTCCTTTCAGGTAGTTGTAGAGCGCGATGAGGTCTCCCCTCAGCCTCCTCTTCTCCAGGCTAAACAGATTGTTCACAGGAAGTTTCCTTTAGTCTACTGTAAGGTAAATTATTACGATTTGTTGAACTACAGCTAGTGCTGCCAACATCCTCTTTCAGTCATCATGCACGCTGTTTAACTATTCATGAACCATCACTCTCTTTAGGAACCACAGTATCCTGACCCTTATTTCCCAATAGCCCAAATCCTTTTGTTATAAAAAGTAGAGAGCTAAGAATACGTAAGTAACTCTACATTACATCCACGATGAAGCTCTTACATAACGATTTTTTCTATATGCATGCTATAGCAAGCCTTCTTCCCAAAATCTGGGATTTCAAAATACAGCAAAGTATTTCAGATTTCAGCACCTTTTCTGAACCTAGCCAAACAATACTCCTATTATTATGTGGTTTAAAATAACCACTTACATCACTCAGATGTCGGTTCACAGCTTCACTTTCTTTTTTCTTTTCCTTTTTATTTTGATCCACTGCAACAGCTGGACTTGCACTGGAGACTTTCTGAAAACAGCGATTATATGAAGTATACCCCTATGCCTTTAACACTCTTCCTAGCAATCATTGAAACAAAACAAACCAGACCAGTGCAATATTGGGCTAAAAAAGCAATTACAATCGAATAAGGTATGTCCTTAGTACAGTGGAAAGACTACTTTAGATGCATCTAAAATGCGTCCTTTTGATGTTCAGCAGACACAGCAAACTTGCTCACCAAGCAAAATCTTCTCAACGCAATTTCCCCAATTTTACTACTGCAACCATCACCGGCAAAATCTCCCCAGCGAGACCCTGGGAGATTAAAACGGCCTAGTGAGCCATAAAAACAACTTTCGGCGGTCTGAAACTTATTCCACCTCTGCGAAAAGGCAGGGACTCTCCGGAGAAGCACTGCTCAGTGCTCCGGGCACACGAGGAGTGCGGACAGCGACCGAGACAGGCTTCCATCCCCGGGAGCCCTCCCGACCCCCGCTGGCTGGGGCCAGGCGTTTCGCCCCCGCGAGTCCCTCCTGCCCCTTCCCTCCCCGCAGAGGCCGGACCCACCCCAGAGCGATGCGGGCGCTCGCCCCC